GGAGTTTGGGGTATGGGGTTTAGGGCTTAGGGTTCAGGGTTTGGGTTTAGGGTTTGGGGTTTCAGGGTTCAGGGTTTGGGTTTGGGGTTTGGGGTTTGGGGTTTAGGATTTAAGGTTTAGGGTCTAGGGTTTAGCGTGTAGTATTTAGGGTCTAGGATTTAGGGTCTAGGGTTTAGGGTTTAGGGTTTAGGGTTTAGGGTTTGGGGTTTGGGGGTTGTAGTTTGGGGTTTAGGGTTTAGTGTTTAGGGGTTAGGGTTTAGGGTCAGCGCTCAGGGCTCAGGGCTCAGAGCTCAGGGCTCAGGGCTCAGGGTTCAGGGTTCAGGGTTCAGGGTTCAGGGTTCAGGGTTCAGGGTTTAGGGTTGGGGGTTTACAGTTTGGGGTTTACGGTTCACGGTTCAGGGTTCAGGGTTCAGGGTTTAGGGTTCATGGCTCAGGGCTCGAGGCTCGGGGCTCAGGGTTTGGGGTTCGTTGTTCGGGATTCGGTGTTCAGGGTTCGGGGTTCGGGGTCCGTGTCCAGGTTTGGGGTTCGGGGTTCGAGGTTTTGGGTTTAGGGTTTGGGGTTTAGGGTTTAGGGTTTAAGGTTGAGGGTTGGGGTTTGGGGTTTCGGCTTTAGGGTTTAGGGTCTAGGGTTTATGGTCTAGGGTTTAGGGTCTGGGGTTTAGGTTATGGGGTTTAGGGACTGGGGTTTAGGGTTCGAGGTTTAGGGTTGGGATTTGGGGTTTTGGGTTTGGGGTTTGGGGTTTGGGGTTAAGGGTTAAGGGTTCAGGGTTCAGGGCTCAGGGCTCAGGCCTCAAGGCTCAGGCTCAGGGTTCAGGGTTCAGGGTTTAGGGTTTAGGGTTCAGGTTTTAGGGTTTAGCGTTTGGGGTTTAGGGTTTGGGGTTTGGGGTTTGGGGTTTAGGGTTTGGGGTTTACAGTTCACGGTTCAGGGTTCTAGGTTCAGGGTTAAGGGCGTAGGGCTCAGGGCTTGGGGCTCGGGGCTCGAGGTTCGGGGTTCAGTGTTCGGTGTTCGGTGTTCAGTGTTCAGTGTTCGGGGTTCAAGGTTCGGTATTTAGGATTCAGGATTCGGGGTTTGGGGTTCGGGGTTCACGGTTCACGGTTCAAGGTTCAGGTTGCAGGGTTTAGGGTTCAGGGCTCATGTCTCAGGGTTTGGAGTTTGGGGTTTGGGGTTTACGGTTCACAGTTCAGGGTTCAGGGTTCTGGGTTCCGGGTTCAGGGTTCTGGGTTTAGGGTTTGGGGTTTGGGGTTTACGTTTCATGGTTCAGGGTTCAGGGTTCAGGGTTCAGGGTTCAGGGCTCAGGGCTTAGGGCTCAGGGCTCAGGGCTCGGGGCTCGGGGCTCAGGGTTCGGTGATCGGGGTTCGGTGTTCGGGGTTAATGTTTTGGGTTCGGGCTTCAAGGTTCGGGGTTCGGGGTTCGGGGTTCGTGGTTCTGGGTTTGGGGTTGAAGGTTTGGGGTTTAGGGTTTGGGTTTTAGGGTTTGGGGTTGGGGTTTGGGGTTTGCGGTCGGGGTTTGGGGTTTATGGTATGGGGTTAGGGTCTGGGGTTTAGGGTCTGGGTTTAGAGTCTGGGCCTTAGGGTCTGGGGTTTCGGTTTTAGGGTTTGGGGTTTGGGGTTTGGGGTTTAGGGTTTGGGGTTTACAGTTCACGGTTCAGGGTTCTGGGTTCAGGGTTAAGGGCGCAGGGCTCAGGGCTTTGGGGTTCGAGGTGTGGGGTTCAGGGTTCGGGGTTCGGGGTTCGGGATTCGGGGATCTGGGTTCTGGGTTCTAGGTTCACGGTTCATGGTTAAGGGTTCAGGGTTTAGGTTCTGGGCTCAGGGCTCAGGGTTCAGGGTTAAGAGCTCAGGGTTCAGGGTTCAGGGTTCAAGGTTCAGGGTTCAGCGTTCGGGGTTCAGGGTTCGGCGTTCAGAGTTTGGGATTCACAGTTCACGGTTCAGGGTTCAGGGTTCACGGTTCACGGTTCATGGTTCAGGGTTCAGGGTTCAGGGTTCAGGGTTCTGGGTTCAGGGA